AATGTTCAGGTCTTGTAGAATATTGCCATTTCGAAGGCAAAGTGGGCATAATTTGGGAGAACCTTTGCTAAACTAACGTTAGTATTCATTGCAAATGGTGTCATATGATATGGGATTTTATTCTTACGTGAATCTATGCTTCATTTTCCGTGTTTATGCTCGCTTTATGTTTTACATTTGCAGCTTTAGCGACCTGTTAGCATCTTTTAGAATAGATTTCTTCTCAGGCTAACCAAATTACGAACTCCGTTCTACCTGATGGTTATTTACTAAACCTATGGTCACCCAAAGAAGAAGATTTTTTTTAATTTTGTTTAGACTGCATCCCCATGACCAAGCTAAGTATCGAAGGTCCTTATTGATATTCGGGAGACCCTGGATTCGAACCATGTTCGCGTTTTTTCTCAGTTTCTTCACACAAGTCCTGGGACTCAAACCTTTCCCATCCACATCCTTTCAGTCCGTCGTTCACATTCAAGCTGTTATTCCACTCTTCGTGTGGCTGAGCAATCATCCACAAGCAACTGAACAATCCAGGTTGTCGTCGGAGGAGCGTGCAGCCCCATCCGTCTTTATAACTGATGACTACGCGACATAACTCAGAATACCACAATTGAATGTCACGCTTTTGAACTATGATGATTGATTGTAATCATGAAAATTAAACGATGATTTCATGACTGTTAAACGATGATGGTGGTGATGAGATCACAAGGCGTAAAGAAGTATCGTATGTTGCGTAAAGAACGCATGTAGATCACAACTTTCCAAGCTTGTCGCTGCGTATGTACCAGGATCATTTGTTAAAGTAGGCCTCAATCGTACTCTGCCATATTTCTAGCGTAACAACCTACTTAACACCGAAAGTCGATATGGCGTTCTGAAATAACCAAATAAACGAAAATTATTTATGCTTCGTCTCGTTTTATTTATTTCGTTTTCTGTGTGACGACAGGTCCATATGAACAGGATCCTTCCATCCTTTTCTCGGACTGGGACCTGTTCATATACGTTCTTGGCAGATGATCCAGAAGTGGTTTGCCATTGCCTTCTTCTGGGTGTGAATGGAGTAATTGTTGGGACGCC